TCCAGGCATCAGATAGGGCCAACCTAAGTCAAGATTTGGAGCTTCCACATCTGATTCAATGGGCCAGTAGGTTCCCGAGGAAGAGGTGTCATCAATTGCGTGGTTAGAGGAGTAAATTGTGTTTTGGGGAAGTTTGTGAACATTGTTCAAAATATAATCAATTTCCTCATCCGCTAGGAACTCTGAGCACCTCTCTTTGGAAAGAAATTCTTTGTAGGCTTCTAAACCTCCTTCAATCAGAGCATCGATAGCTATTCGGTACCATTCCTTGTAATGTGGTTCAATACAGTTGTCTGATCTGCATTCATCATGTAAGGAGGACAGCAAAGATGAAGTTTCCATCTTCACATAGATTTTGTATAAAGTCTCTTAAGCTCCCATTCAAGAGCAGATGAAATGTATCTGTAAAGAGAAAAAAGTAAGAAAACAACCAGAATATTTCTAGAGATCTATGACGTGCACACACAAGTATTAACTAAGTTACTTTTCTGGTAACGTTGCTCTAAGTTTTTGTAGCATCTTCCAAGAATTTAAAAATGTTTTGAAATGGCTCAGGGACTAATATAGGCAAATGAATATTAAAGAGGTAGATAAAGAGCTTTTACATAAGGCAAAACTAAACACATAATTAAGTGACTTAGTGAAGTCCTACATCAGAGCTCATAATACACTGAACATCTGTACCAGTAACATCAATACATACCTGACGTGTGTTCCAATACGCTATCATAAGCTGTATTTCAAAACCCTCTTTATAACAAGTGACAGAATAGTGTTCAAAGAAACACTTCAGAAACCACTTAAATTTTCTACTTTTTAATGCATTACTTTCTCTGAAATGCATCCCTTTTCTCTTGCTTCTTTGAAACCACAGTCATTCAGGTACTTCTCCTTATGTATCTGTTCTCCCATGATGATCTAATCCATTTGTCGCTCCCAAGCAGGACCAGCCTACCTCATTTCAGTGAGTTATGAGGAACTCCAGGAAGATTTATCCTCCCACATCTGGGATCAAACTCTGAATCAGCAATCTGATGTCTAGTTTCCACCCTGTTCGTTCCCTCTGCCAAAAGGAGCGGCTGCTTTAATCTTTTTTTTTTTTTTCCCCCAAAACATTAATAATAAGTTGTTTACTGCTGATGTTTTATGATTATTTTTTTTTCATTTCATTTAGCAAGGGCTGAGAGATTTGTTTTATGCTGTGACAATGTGGGATTTAAGACAGAGGTAGAACAAACAGCAACTTCACCATTCACCTAAACCTAAACTGCACTGGATTTCTGCATTGGGCAAGTAGGTCACAAAAAAAACCCAACATAAAATACGGGTGATATTTCAAGACAGTGGCATCAGCCTGGCCATGTAAAATAGAAAAATGATGCATGGTAGCACTGCTTCATCTTCCAGGTCTAAGGTATGAAGCTTAAGTGAAAGCCTAGAGAAATAGGAAGAAGATCCAACAAAGGCAGAATAGTTAGAAAAAGCTTATACAGTGGATAGCTTGAAAGTTAGTGTTGGGTTTCCCTACAAACCTAATTAAATTGTAGAGCAGGATAATAACAAAAAACAGTCATACAGCATTCTGACTTCATTTACTGCCATATAAATTTAACACAATTCTCTCTTCCCATCAAGACCTTTCAGATATTTTTGCAAACAGTGCATTTGTTTTCCACTGTCTGCTGGGAGCAGTTTAAATCTTTTCGAAAGGAAATATAAATTAGTTATATTAACCTAAAGGAATGAAAACAAAATTAAATAGAATGAAAACATCCCCGTAACTAGTGATACTTCAAAAACCAGTTAAATGTTCAATTAAACCAAGATTTATAAGGAACTTGGGAAGACTGAGGTTAAAAAAAGACCAAGAAAGAAAAATCCAGATCTGAGGCTGGCATCAGCATGTCATATGAAATAATTCCATTTGAATCCTGCCTCTCAGCCAAGCAGCAGGGTAGATCTTCCCAGATAGGATTGCTTTCGAGCCTGGGGGAAAGGAGTGTTCCTGGCTGCTTCCAGAGCAGCTCTTTGTGGTGAACTGGAAAGCAGCAAGCCAAAGGGATCTGACTGCTCTCCCTCCAACTGAGAACTACACGTATTCCTGTGACAGATACTCAGGGTTTCATTCCACACTACTTTAACAGGTAGAAATGAAATGTTATAAAACAGGAGTAATACCATTTCACTTTGCAGAGATGCAGATCCAGCCTGTGGTTTAAGGTGACAGAGAACTGAGCACACAGTACAGGCAAGACAAGCCAATTCAGAAGTTAAATTCTTAGAATATCGTAAAATTAGAACAGTCACGCCAGTGTCCCAGGGAAGCCAATCATCTCAAACAGGTTTTCAAGACATTTTAAATGAAGAATGAAGAACAACCCAGAGTACAAAATGCAGTTATTCAGCTAAGTTGTTCTGAGGAGTATGAACACTAACACGGAGAATTCCATACAACTCTCTTTTAGGGCTTTACAGGACAAGTAACTTTCTAACCAGTGTAGTAAAACAGTCAGTTTTATTATGACATGTAAGAATAAATCCTATTTTACAAAGGTAAATTAAAGATATGTCTAAAACTCTTACTACTTTAGAATGGATATACTTTTAAAATAGAAATTTTGTTCCTGATTGAATATACATACACAGCAGAGAAAGACTTATGTGTTTATTTGAAAAGCCTGTCTAAATCCATTTTTTCTTCTTCTCACTCTTTCCTTTGAAAATAATATAAGGGAACACGACTATACTTACTATATAATATTGTGCAATATCAAGTATTGAAAGTCATGAACAAATAAAAGGCAAAAAATGATTGCATGTGTGTTCTGGTTTGCCTGCATTTCTTTTATTTGGTTTGGTTCTTTGTTTTCTTAATAATATACTAGTTGTAATTGCTTTTCATTGAATATAATTAATTAATTAATTAATTAATTGTGGCATAGGTCAAATATAGCAACTCATGCTCAGACTTATGCTGAAAGCAGAGTATAAATATATGTAATCTTGGAAAGGTGAGACTTCTAGTGCAGTATCTTCCAAACAAGAACAGTCATTTTACAGTGAACATCTTTGAAGTTCATGTTTGATTAACAAGTGCTGTTTACAAAAGAAGCTTAAAGCAGTGCAGATTTATTTAAGAAAGTAAATGTAAAATTTGTCAGCATGGAAATAAATCATGGAACACTTGAAACAAATGAAAAAATTTTAATCCTGGTCTTTGAAATTAAGGAAATCAGCATGATATATATTCATATGGAACAAAAGAAAACTCCCAAATAAAAACAATGGCTTCAAGTATATTTGACAAAAGCTCTCAATGTCTTGACACAAGTATTTTCCTCTTATAAGGTAAGAGCTACATTGTAGAAATTGTACCTATGAAACAATATAATTTTGGATGGAGAGACAGAGATTTAGATAAAATTCTTAAATAAATTTTTTTGTGTCCTTTTCAACCCTGTATTATGATTTCTGTATAATAAACTTGAGTCTTCAAAGGTCCTCCTCAGGTCAACAATTATATTAGCAAGGTTATGCAGAATGAGGCCCACCTCTGGAGGCTTGCAGATCTTTATCAGATTTCATGTACACGATTACAAATTTTACCAGCACCAATAAAGTTGTTGTTCATCCTCTGAGAAACAGCCTTGGCTGTTTATCCTAGCCCAGCATATCAGCCATCCTCTCTGCTTGGACACAGGAATCACTTTTTTATTAAGTGCCATTAAAGGGCTTAAATTGAATCTGAACTCCAATGCAGCTGCTAAAACTGAAACTTCTGCTGAAGAACACAACTTCTGAATCCTGCACTGATGTAATAATTTTGTCTTTCTATTAACAATATGCTCAGACCTTTCTAATGCCATTATCAGGAACCCAGCAAGAAAAGCCCTTTTCCTCTGACAAAGAAGTTAACATGCCTTTTTGTAGAAAGATATGGAGAGTATCCCAGACTTCACAAAAGCATGCAAATGATAAATGTTCACTAAAGAAAATGACACAACATTCTACATGGGTTCCAGAAGCACAGTCCTCCAGGCTAGCGCTAAAGATAAGGAACTTCCCTGCCTTACTAATATTCACAGTATTTGAAAAAAATCCTATTCAGCAACTTTGGGGAGCAGCTCTAACCTCAGGCTCCTTGTACAGCCGGTCCTTGGCAAGGTCCTGGCCATGGTGCTCTCTTCAGAACGTGCTTATCTCTTTTTCAATGGAAATATGATTGTTTTGACATTTTCTGCATTAAGTTTCAACCTTGCCAGCCCTGTTAAGGGAAATCTAAACCTCGGGAACAGCCTGTTGCAAGCTCCTCTATCAGGTATCGTTCCTGGGGCATCCACCTAAGTACCTCTGGCCCATGGCTCTGCCAAGGAGCCTCCCTCCCCACAGCTTAAGGGCCTGGTATGACCAGACTTTAAGAGAACAAACAGGCGTTTTACGACTGCTGCCTTCCACCACCCTTTCTATTAAAGAATTGTATCAAGAACAAATAATAATTACCTATATTAGGCAGTGACAGTCAATTACTTCATTATTATTGACACTATTTTCTATGGCTGCTAAGGACATCAAATCCAAGTGAAAAACAACACCGCAAGCTTTCCTAATGCTTTCTTCTTTTTTTTTTCTTTTTTTTTCTTTTTTTTTTGGCTTGGTTTGGGACTTTTTGTTCAATCAGAAAGTTAACTTTCCAGGCAGAACAGCCGGCCCTCCGCTGGGAGCCGCCGCACGTGTTACCGCCCCATCCCGGCCGCTCAGGGGGCCGCTTGCACAACGCGGCGCCGGGAGGGAGCGCGGCGTGGGAGCCGCGGGGGCCGCGCCCGCGGGCCGCCCACCCCGCCCGGCCCCGCGCCCGCCGCTGCCCCCGCGCACCGCCCCCGCCGCCGCTCCGCGACCCCCGCGGCCCCGTTCCAAGCGTCCCTCGGCGCCCGGCGGGATGTTGGCGGGGCGGGGGCTGCTCTGCCGCCGCCACCGCTTTCCCCCCTCTCCCCGTCCCGTCCGGGGGGAGACTGAAGGGAGACACACGCACTTACTGCACCGGTGCCCCGCGGTGGGGTCTCTCCTCCGGAGCGGCTCGACCCGGCTGCTGCGATCGCGGCGGCGGCGAGTCACGGCGGCGCAGGGCTCATCGCAGGTACTTCCCGTCGCTCTCGGGCGCGGTGGGTGTGGAAACCAGTTACAACATGTCAGAACGGTGTCGCACCAAACCCGCCGCCGCGGGAGCGGGGCAAGGACTTGTCTGAACTGGGGAAGCCCGGCCCTCCCGCACGGGAGCGAAGGGCAGCGCCTTCCCAGGGCCTTGGCGGACCCCCGCCCCAGCCCTGCCCTGCCCTGCCCTGCCCGCTGGGCCTGCCGGCAGCCGCGGCATCGGCAGCCCCGAGGGGGCCCCGGGAGCGGGGTGTGCGTGGGAGATTAAGCCCAAAGCAAACGTTGGCTTCAAGAAAAAATAAACCCATCAGCCTCGAGTCACGGTTTCCAGGTTAACTCTGGTGGAGCAAGTCATGGCAAGGGAGCAATACCCGTTCGAGACCTTCCAATTAGGCTATGTGGATGAGCCTTTTTCCATAGCTTAATTGCTTTTACAGGCTCTTCTTTTGCACTTGATGTCTCAGGTGAGAGAAAGAGACCTGAAGGTAGAACCCCCTATCGTGGCTGAGGTGGTGCCGAGGCCCTCCCGCAGCCCGTATCCCTCTCCTCGCCTGCCCACATGCTCGGCATGCCAGCATGGCAGTCCCACCTTTTGAAACGTTTGACAGCACTCTCTGGAAGGCTTTTCCAAAACACAGTCATCTCTTTGATAGGATCTTGAAACCACCAACAGATCAGCACATCACGTGTGCATAGCAAGCACACTGAGGGGGTTTTGTCATTTTAAATTAATGGCAGTAGATAGAAGACTTCTAATAGGCTTTGTCCAGGTCAAACTCTGTGGTGCGTAACTGCAACCAGCTTTTTCTTGAGCCGTTTAAGACAATGCGGTGTAACCCTGCCAGTTATCCTTTTATCAGCAATAACTAATCCAGTCTGGCTTTAAGCACAAACTATTTTCCTGACCTTTCTGCCTAACAGTAAGTGTGGGATATATCCTATTTGTGAAGGTAAGTATGGTTCTACTGTGACTTTTGGATGATGCTCCACTCTTCTCGTACCGAAAAAAGAACTTCCCTGTTTTGATGAAAAATGCAGAGGAAAAACTGTTTTAAAAACAAACAAACTTTTAAAATGCACATGGAAATTAATAGTACACAGGACTTTTTATCCAATGAAAATATGTGGTCAGGAAGAAGAATGTGTTTCTGTGGAAACTTGTTCAAAGAGGTGGGGCTATGTAAATATTTAAAAGAGCAGATCTATTCTCTAAAATTATTTTTGAAAGGGTATAAAGGTAGATGAATGAACACAAAACCACTTTTGACCTTGACTGAATTGACTGGACTTTTATTCCATAAAATCTGCAAGTGTTCCTATGTCTTTCTTCTACAGAAGTCAGTGGTTGAGTACTGGCTTAGCATAACCAAAAATCTGTAAAGAGATCAGTAATAGCTTTCTAAATAAGATTTGCATGAAAAAAAAAGGACCTAGGTAGTTTTGCTACGTTAGTATCTCTACAAGAAAAGGGGTTTTTTTCTGCTCCTTTACAGTGCCCAGCTCAGTGGGAAACTGATCTGTTACTGAGATCTTAAGCAACATACCACACACACAACTAATACAAATTACCAATACAGTATAAACCAGCAACATTGCTATCAGTAGTAATAAGGCATTATTATTGCTGTTTTTACTAAGGAGAACAAAGTGCTCTCTAAATAGCCAGTACGTGCCTATTTATCACGCCAGCTTTAAAATTAACAGATAAACAGAGTGATGAGAAGATACAAAAGAAAACTTAAACAGATCTTTGTAAGTAAAAACCTTTGCACTGACAATAGAAAAATGGGATGATAAATGCTGTTGGAGATTCTTCTACACAGTTAAAAGCTGCCTGAGTTTGTCAGCTGAGGCCCACCAGTATCATTGGGTAAGACCAGTTGAAGCATCCTATTGGTTGGAATCATTTCACTGTAATCCAGCTAATTCATGAAGCCTCAAAACTACAGAAAAAGTTCTTCCTGTAGACTTAACTTGCTCATGGGATAAAAGAATAAACTCATTATGTTTGATACCACTGTCTTGAGAATGATTGTCTTAAGTGACCTGGGTGCTCAGATGATGGTGCTGATGGATGATCATCTCTGTGACTTACATCAGTTTCCAGTTCTGAGACTTCTTTTTGTATTGACAGATCATCTTGCTATGTACAGTCTAGCTGAATGCAAGCAGAAGATAAAAGATTATTATCACATATACAATGACACCAGTCTGGAGGTTTATGATATGAATATTAAGGATAAATATTTATATGAATTATTATTTATATTCTTACTGCATGCTTACTAAGATTTCATTTAGATTTACTAAAGGAACATTGATTTGGAAGCAGTGGATATTTATACAATTCATGACATCTATGAATTGAGCTTTTATTAGATTTTAAACAGAAGAAAGAGTACAGTTCTGAAGACTCATACTATTTACAAATCAGTGGCCATCTATTCTAAAGCATATGCACAGAGATTTCACACAGTGATCTTAAAATTAGGGGAAATGTGCTGTTACAGATATGAATATAAAGGAGCTGCACTGCATATGAAGTTCAACAAGGGCAAGTACTGGATTCTGCACCTGGGACAGGGCAAGCCTCAATATTCATACAGACTGGGGAATGAGATGCTGGAAAGCAGTGCTGTGAAAAGGGACCTGGGGGTCCTGGTCAGTGACAAGTTGAATATCAGTCAGCAGTGCCCTGGCAACCAGAAGGGCCAACCGTGTCCTGGGGGGCATCAGGCAAAGCATCGCCAGCCAGTCGAGGGAGGGGATTGTCCTGCTCTGCTCTGCACTGGGGCAGCCTCACCTTGAATACTGTATGCAGTACTGGGTACGACAATATCAGAAAGATACTAAACTATTAGAGGGTGTCCAAAGGAGAGCAACAAAGGTGGTGAAGGACCTTGAGAGGAAGTTGGATGAGAAGCTGCTGAGGTCACATGTGGAACTTTACAAAAGACCTAAAGAGCAAACATAATTTTTCTGCCATGAGGCTTTCCTGCTTTGTTGCACCAAATTTTTTCACAATCTTCTTCAGCATGATGCTCCAAGAGCCACAGCAGACCTCGATGAAGAAAACGGTATCTACATCTGAGATCATACCAATGGAAGCCTTTTCAACCTAAGGCGACTGAAGGCCCACACTAAGACCTTGTCCGTGAGCTACTTTATGCTGATGACACCCTCGTTGCCCACACAGAAGTAGCTCTACAGCGTTTAACATCCTGTTTTGCAGAGGCTGCTGAGCTTTTTGGGCTGGGAGTCAGCTTGAAGAAGAGAGAAGTTTTCTATCAGCCTGCACCTCAGGAAGTCTTTCATCATCCCCATATCACCATTGGTGAATCAGAGGTCGGATCAGTCCAGCAATTTAATTACCTGGGAAGCATCATCTCCTCAGACGGTAAGATTGATGCAGAAATAGACAACAGGTTAGCAAAGGCATACAGAGCTTTTGGTAAACTCCATAAAAGAGTGTGGCAAAACAAACACCTGAAGAAAAGCACTAAGATCAGCGTTTACTGAGCCATTGTACTAACTGCTCTTTTATACAGGTCTGAATCGTGGGTCATTTACCACCACCACTTGCAACTCTTAGAATGTTTCCAGCAACGCTGCCTCCGTACAATCCTAAACATCCACTGGACTGACTATGTGACCAACACGTCTGTCCTTGAACAGGCAGCAGTCACGAGCATTGAGGCCATGCTGCTGAGAACACAGCTGCGCTGGGCAGGGCACGTCTCCAGGATGCAGGACTACCGCCTCCCTAAGATCGTGCTCTATGGGGAACTTGCCACTGGCTACCGCAAGAGAGGAGCCCCGAAGAGATACAAGGACTCCCTGAAACAATCCCTCAGCCTTGGCCATATTGATCACCACCATTGGTCTACCCTGGCCTCCAATCGGGAGGCCTGGAGACACACCATCTATAACGCTGCTGCTGCTTTTGAGAACACACGCAGGATCACTCTCGAGGAGAAAAGACAACGCAGAAAGAATCGCATCTCGTCGATATCACCTGGGGAGTCTTTCTGCTGTGCCTTCTGCAACCGGACTTGTCTATCTCACATTGACCTTTTTAGCCATCAGCGCGCTTGTAGCAAGCGTGGGTAGAGCACTTCTCAAATCTTCGTTCACGAAGCTTAGCCGTGAATAGAATCATAGAATCATCTCGATTGGAAAAGACCTCTGAGATCATGAAGTCCAACCCTTGAATAATACTTTTTTCTCATTCTGAGACAAGAAGTTCCTAACTGATGGAGGTTGATAAAGGATTCTCCATCCCTGTGTTTCATTCCTCTCCCTTTCCTTTTTGCCACATGTCTGCGTGCGCTGCTAGTCATTGAAGAGCAGATACAGGGCTATACAGACCTTTGTTCTGACTTCACACAGCTTGTTCTTGTATTCCTTCAGAGCATGCTAAGGCCAATGTATAAAAAAGTTGTAGGAACGTGTTTTTTTTCTGATTGACTTCCTCCTCTGTGGATCAGAGAGGTAGCTCCACTTGGTCCTCTTACAGGCAACTAGATATCTGTGTGTACCCTTAAACATGGTTCCACCCCTGCCTTTGGTAAAGATACCTGCATAACTACTGAAAGATTTCACTGTTTTCTTCGTGGCTTGTCAAGTTTTATAGTTACACAGTTAGGTATCTTCTTCAAGCTTACCTAAAACCATCATACTTTTTGAGGTCTTCTGAGATTTTGTGTCCTTGTGGTTCAAACTCTAGAAATTTTTCTGCACAGGTGGTATCCATTTTGTTGTTGTAACTTCCAAGACACATAGAGGGTGACTTTTGTAATTATTTTTGTTTCGCTCACTTACCCTTATTTTAACATCCACCTTTCACTTACTTTGGAAATAGTTCTCATTGTACTACTACTACAAGCAGGCAATAACACAAAATTGACCAGAAAAATAGCACAAAAAATAAATTTGTCATTTTTTTCAGTTGTTTGGGACATTCTCTTTTTCTTGTTCTCCAGGAGCTAAACTTTCTAGGATATCTTCCTTACTGGACTTAGCCTGTTCTCCTCATCACATCTTCTGAAGGGCTGATGCACTGCTGGAGATTGAATGACAAAATCTTAACCACGTATTTTGTGATCCAGAGTCAGGTCTTAAGGGTTTAGAGATTAGGGATTAGTATACTTGTGTCTTCAAGCCAGACATACTTTGGGGTAATGCAGAGATCAATAATGAAAATTTTATACTAATTTAGTAAAAGGTAAACCTACATAAATAATTTTAAAGTATACATTTTTAATATTATGGAAACTATTATATACAAATTCACATTGTGTATAAGAATCAAATTATGAAACCTAGCCTTACACCAGTTGGTCCAAGATTTTGAGTACATTAAAATCTACTTTACTGTTGACACATTAGAAAATACCTCTTCCTGTTTAAGCTATTTTTCTTCAGTATAGATTCCAAGAATCTTCAGCGCCATATAGGAAGGGAGGATAATTCTCCTATGGAATGGCAAGCTGTCTGCTGTCATTTGATCTGAATGTTTTAATGAACTGCAGATTGAACTCCTCCATTAGGCCATCACCAAAACCAGTATTCTGGGTTCATGTAGACTCTTGCTACACAGCCATAAGAATCTTCTAGTCAAAAGCAGAATTCACAGCTCCTAGGTTGCTTCTGACAGAGAAAAAAGGTGAGTCCTGTAAATAAATTTATAAAAAGAGGAAAATAAAATAGGGTTATGGGGAACAAATTGTTGCTCGATTTGCACGTGGTTTATTTTCAAAGCTGTAGCCACTTTGACAAGCCTGTGTTGGCACTTACAAGGACTCACTTTTGGTTTAGTATTCACCTTTCTTCTTGGAGGTGAGCTTGTCAAAAGGATGAAATGTCTTTGTCTCCTTCCAATCCCAGAAGTGCCTGAAGCTAGTTTTCTTCCTAGTGCTGGCTACTTGGAGCCTTTAATGTTATCCTAGCTTTGCTTGGGTGCTTGTGGTCCTTATGAACTTTATAAACTCAAGCTCATCTTTCTTGTAACCTTTTTCTAATGCTAAAATTTGGGGAGGATTAAAGGTTTTACAGCACCTTTGGGAGGTCTCTGACCCTCAATAGTAATTCTAGTAGAAGGGAAAAATAAACCAGGCAATAACAGCCTATATCAAGTAATAAAATCACATTGAGGTCTCAACAACAAAGAAAGTTATGTTAATGTTCCAAAGTATCAGCATCGTAAGTCTGAATCCAGCTACTAGAAATTACAGGTTTATTCTTTCCTGGGTGGATTCACAAACTGCAAATGAAGTTATAGCCAAGGAAACCTGTTAGCAGTGGTATAAGTGGTAAACAAGTGCCAGAAGTATTCCACCCTCAAATACAAGGTTTTCTTAAATGTCCAGATACCTGTCCAGAAAACACAAATGCCCTACCATTAGGAAATGTTTATTGGCTGAATGATACAAAGCAAATGCTGGAGTTCACACATGAGCTCAGCAAATGTTTTCTCATTAATTTGTTGCTTTATAATCATTGTGAAGTTGTTAATTTACGTGTACAATTACTGAAACAAACATAATTTACATCTATCAAGCTGTCTTCAGAATTAAGAATTAATGTCTTAAATAGTAGTGAACATGATAAACTAAGAATATCAATGATTCAGATTTTTCGGTAGAGATAATGTCTTTCTTCAGATCAGCTAATATTGTTGTGAAAAGCACAGAAGCTTGTGGTCACTGAAGCTTCTCCAAATCTGAAATAGATACAGCAAACTTCAAATCTAAGTACAAATTGTGAACAATTGCTCTCAATTGAACTGGAAATGTTTGAACTAAAAGGAAGAAAAGGAAGAACACACAAATACAGGAGTAGCTATACTAGATCCATCTAATTTAACATCATGTCTCTGACAGTAATTGGTTAGAATGAAATATTTGGGTGAGTTTGTGGTCTCCCATCCTCAGCTCCTAGCTCTTTCAGAGGCATATGTGAGTTGGGGATGATGGATCGCCATCATTATCATCCCCAAAGTGTGCTGAAAACCCAAACATAATTGAAATCCCAAGATAAATTACAGAATCACTGGTTTCAACATGCTTTTGAAAATTCTTGCTGTGAGTTTGTGGGAGGAAGGAGGTGCATTGTAATGTCATTTAGGCGGTGCTCTTTGTGACAATGAGACAATAAGATGCAACAATCACAAGTTGCAGCAAGAGAAATTCTAATTGGGCACTGTAAAAATTCCTCTCTGTGAGGGTGGTTAAGCACTGGGATGTGCTTCCCAGACAGCATGTGGGATCCACCTCTGTGGAGATTTTCAAAACACGATTGAACAAGGCCTTGGATATCCTCAATTAATAAGTCAGTTAAACTGCCTTGAAGCAGGAGGTTGGACTCGGTGACTTCCAACAACCCTTTCCAACGTAGTTTTTTTGTGATACTATGATTCTGTCTTTATTTTCCTTTCTGGAACAGCTGTGATTCTGACAGAGCTTACTTCTGTAGAATGGTGAAGTCTTTACCAGTGTTTTGCTCAAATGCAATTTTCCTTAAGGTTTCTCTGTTGTGTATTAGATTATAATCCTCAATTTTTAACTGGTATTACCTGGTAATAATAAAAATTTTTGTTTTACAAGTCTTATATTATTGACACTTAAGAGCACTGTAGAAGTTACGTCTAGGAAACCGGGGAGGTGTGCTAATTCATGTGAGAATTAACTGACAAATAGTGAGAAGTAATAGCTTGAAATTATGAAATAATGTTATTATCTGATTCTGTCTACTAATATTATCAATAATGGAATGGATAACTCATCTGATACTTAAATTTGCTTTGGAGTTAAACCAACAAGAACAATGGAGAGTGTTCACTGCCAACACTGTAGTCTTTGGCTAGCTGTTTATGTCCTTAAGGTCTGTCTTAAATCTTTTTTGAAACAACTCAACACTTTGAGTCCTCTGTGGTATGTGCTGGTTAATCTGAAATAATTGAGTTCTTGAACAATATCTTGGCTAAAACATACTTAAAAATTCAAATATTTGTGGATTCTCTCTATTCCCTTCAGCTACCTGAAATGGAAAAGTGTTAACCTTCATGATGTAGGCCTAGAGGTGGATTTGAGCTATCATCTTGTGTTCACCAATTATGAGATGTCATGTGCTTGCAATTCATTTTGATCAAACAAATACATTAACATTTAAGTGGCGATCTTAATCTGACTTGTACTTAATTAGTAAATGAATAAGGGTAGTTCAACTCAGGGCAAAAAATACATAGATTAAGGAGTAATTGAGTAAAATGGCTGGGTTATGAACATGGAAATTGGCACTTGCCCTTGCCAAGAATTAAACTTGTTTTTAAATGGAATCATTTATACAGAAAAAAAAAGCCAAACAGGTGTGTACAAGCTAGAAAATATCCAAAGTTCAGTCATGCTGAACCATAAATGTATGGCAAGCTAGAATGAGGCAGACTATCATAAAAATCATAGACAGCATAAAAATCTTCTCCAAATCAAGTAAATTCTATCCTTTCAATTTATCAAAGCCTGAGGAACTCCTGAATGAAGTAGCCAATATGATTTCAACTCCAACAAGGGGCTTTGATGACTAACACAAGATTTTGGGTCCTGTATTGAAAATTGGTTGTCAAATAAGCTCTTGTCAACTGTTATTTAAACTGGCTCCAGAGGGTCTTATTTTTCCATTTTAAAACTCTAGCATGCCTGTTGCTCTGTGCATATACAAGGATCTTGGTCCCTCTGTGCACCTTCACACCTAACTCATAAGCCTGATCAACATCCAGAAGCTTTGAATTCTTCCTCTCACATCCCACATGATGCTCAGACCAACAGGTTTTCAGGTACTTAGGTTCTCTGTTGATCTAGTCCTCTCACTTTTCTTTTACTGTGTTTTGCAGTGAAATGAAAGAAAATGCTCCCAGTTTAACTTCCTTCAGTCAGCTTTAATTTGAGACGTTAATAAACAGTGGAGGCACGAGGAGAGCGCATCAGAGGAGATGGTGCATCGACTGCTGTGAGTAAGGAAGGCTTCCGATGACCTCAGAATCATGAAGGGCTGGTGACCTTCTACATCATGAGCCAGTATGCAATATGTCCACACCCACAGGAAGAGAAACAAATGCAAGGTTATGTCCAGTTGTTATTATGCATATCCTAGTAGTAGGAAGCAATAAAAGAACAGTGGAGTTGGAAGACAAGTAAACAACACCACTTAGATTTTTGATCAATAACCTCCAAATTGGCAATAATGCTAGGTATTTAATTGCTATATTATTCATAGCAGAAATAGTTTTTTCATGAAGACAAGTTGTAAAGAATCATATTCTGAGTTTGGGAAACTATTGCCTATGTCAAAATTAAAACAGAGTGGGAGAAAAAGGATGAATGAGAAATATCAATACAAGTAATTGCAGATGTGATAAGAACAGAAGTATTCCTTGAGGGCTAGTTTATAGGCAAATAACTTAATAGCTGCCTGTGTAATCTCACTTATCCCCTTACCTGAATGCGCACATACATACTGTTCTAACATACCTTCTTTGCAATGTAGTTTTCACTGTCAGAATTTTGCTCTTTTCTGTCATCCTACAGTTTTCTGATAGAGCTTGCTATTCCTGGAAAAAAAACAATTTCATTCTCCTTTCCCCAGTCGGTTTGTTCATTATTGTTGCAAGATGTTCCTCCATAGTCTAATATAAAGTGCAGAAATGCACATAGCTCCATACAATGTCTAAAAGTTTTGCTTTAATTTCAAACTGGGCATTGCAGAAAGCCAGGTACAAAAAACATCAGTAATATGTATGGAAAGAAGTGCTTGAGTTTGACTGAATGCTTCTTACTCCATTGCCAGGTAGAAAATAGCACAATGGAGATCATCATGCTGTCAGCAGACACATATGAATCATACTAGCCATAGAAGAAGCCTGGAGAGATTTCTGAAAATGTCTGGCAGTAAGGGTGATCTTGGGTTTTGAGACTGGAAGTACAAAGATGGGGAGAAAGGAGATTCTTACAAGTTTTAATTCTGTGTAGTGTAAAATAAAAGTTTTGATTCAGTATTATAATTCATAACAGCAGTTGGAATCTGTTTTGGTAGTGAGTGCATTCTGGACATGTATTAACCGGAATGCTGAGAAATGCAGATGAGTGACTGGCAACTTTGAGGCAAAGTCACAGTGGAACCAAGCAGATTACTCCAAATAAGCATCATAGTAAATGGAAATACAGTTGAAAATACAGCTAATCCATATGGAGCTCAAGATATCCAGACAGAAAATGTAACACAAAAATTAGCTGCATAGCATGTTTATTGGAAAGATTAAAAAGAAAATTAGGTGATAGTGATGGTTTATTTAATAAGAAAACAGTAATTAATTTGTGCGTAGAACTAAATGAACACATTTATTCAAAATATGCTGGTACTCATACTTGGAATATAGCTCTTCAAATTAAGATTAGTTATTAAGATAAGAAATAAAGATGTTAATGCAGGAAAGATTGTCGTGAATTAAGGTCAGTATTTTTCTGTATTTGTTTACATTGGACAGCGTTAGAGTTCAGATATTGTACCCTAGTTGTGTTGGAATTTCTGTGATATTAAATGACTTTTCATGCTAGTAAGCATATTTAAATTTGAATGCATATGTACTACAGTCTGCATTAAATACTCTTGAATAAAAACCATATTACAATCAATACAGATCTAATTTCTTATCCTTCAACATTTCCACCATCACCCCACAAAGTTTTGACTAAGCCTTGTCAGTGGTATATGAAACAGCAGATACAGTTCAATCTGTTCCTTTTCCTCCAAGGGGAAAGTTGTTTACATTTTATACTGCTTGGTTTTGTAGGATTTTTCCCAGGAAGAGTTGGGGATTTAAAAAACAAGCAAACAAACAAAAACTTGGTATGTGTTAATGGGAGAATTTAAGACTGAAGAGACATGCTTTGCATTTAAAATGCAGATTACTAAACACGTAATGGCTATTATTTTCTCTCCAAAATATTTTACTCTTCCTGGAATGACCTTGCTTCACTTCTGTTCTACGCTTTCAAGGGGATCGTGTTCTTGTACTTTTGGGCACATGTTTGTGTGAAGTGGATTATAGAGATACGAAGATAGTACCACTTGAACTGAAATGTTCACAAGATGCTATATGCATTAGGAAATACAAGCACAGTTCCTGTGCTGTCAGATAAGTGGTGTCTTTATATCAGCATAGTGACACACCTCTAGTAACAAGCCCCAATTTTCAGGTGGATGAATTAGCTCACACACAATAACATAATGGCAGTAGTTATCTTGTTTGGGAGCCAGCTCACTTGTCTCACTCTGCTAGCAGGATAGGCTGCCCATAGAAACATCTGTGCCTGCTTACCCTAATCATGACTGATGCCATTCTGTTGTTCCTCCTCACAAGAGCATGTCTGTAGTCCTGCATCCCAGTTTTTCGTTAGTCCCAGAACTTGTGCCACTCTACCATTACAGGTGCTTGGAGCCCTGTCAAGTTTATCTTCTTTCAGTGCCCATACTTCTATTTTTGGTGTTGAACCAGTGCGTAGGATAAATAACTTAAGTCCCCAGGCAATCTTGAAAACAACTCTGTGATGGTATTTGAAAATCCATTACTTTCTATGAATCAAAACCAAGGCCTCTTGTTTCCTTGTGAAAGATTCTTTAGAGTAATTTTATTGCAACTCATTTTTAGTTGGTACGTGTCCCATGTAAGGCTGCTTGCATATGTCCTGTGTAAGGTTCCATCCTATGCAATAATCTCAGCTGCTTTCTTAAGGTCCACCCAAAGTCTAGGATTTGTAGATAGGTACTTGCTGGCACCTCTAAAGTAATAATAATAGTAAACTGTAGTCACACTAAGGAATGGGAAATCTACTAATGAAAGGGGGGAAAAAGCCAAGAAAATGTAGATTTTGGGGGGGGTTGGGTGTTTTTTAAATTGAAGCAGTGTATCAGGGAATTACTGCTAAGGAAATTTGCAGGTAAATGGAGAATGCTTTCTGAATAAATTAGTATGGAGCTTAATAGCAATGTCCATATTTTACTGCTTTTGGGGCCTTTAAAGTAACTGATCTGAAAGACATGACCTGTTGATAACTACTGTCCAACTTGTCTACACTTAAGTTGAAAAGATATCCTTAATTATGTTAGCACATGGACAGTCTCAATTATTTTGAGATGGGAACACTGTACAAGACACTGATACCTTTTCAGCTTTTACGATTTGCCTGGAAGCAATCCTATCTATGGCAGATCTATTCACAGAAAAAAATTTAGTGCAAGAAAAACTGATAGAAACATATTCTTGTAACTGAAGAGGAAAAAAAATCTCCTGAATTCAGAAATTGAATGCAACCTTGAGTTAAAGTATTTTCTTTCAGTTATAAGCCTCTTTATTTCCTTTCAAGAGTAAGAAACTCTGTGTCTTACTACAGTGCTTTAAAAAATGTATCACTTTCAGGTGTTACCAGTTTTACTTTATTTTCCTTACTTTTTTCTTATAATTCTATACTAGTAACCATATTAAATCCCTATCATTTTTGTGTCTTACCATTCCATATATTTATTGTACATCCTTAAAGGTCTTTTAGATTGATAAACATGCATTTGGTATCTTTATTCTGTAATTTTATTTCACTTACGTACATTTTCCATTAATTTTTTTGATATTTAGCATGTCTACCATTGACTTAAACTTTTGTTACAATTTCTCATTCCTTCTATCCTTGTAACGTAGCATTGTGTTCCTACATAAAGTAGTTCTCCTTTTATTTGTTCCTCCTCCAAAATAACCTTGACTACATGGTGCTGTTGGCAGCTTACCAGGAGAGGGGCCATATTGAAGCATACCACCTCAAGAAAGAACTTTGTTGACTTATTTCAAGGATTGCTCTTCTCTTAACTCATCCCTATGTCCTTTTTTTTAGGATACAGCTTGGTTTTCCTTGTGGAAAAAGCTGTCGCTATTGCATGATGTTTGTGAAAAATTAAACAAAGCTCTTCTTTGCCTCTTCCTACATCTCAATTTAAGACCTGTGCTCCTAAATTGGATTAATAATAGAGTAGCTCCAGTGTCACCCAAAGTTAACTGCTGTATTTACTTGACCTAATGTAGGTCTTGCAAGGTTGATTCCTGTCCCCAGCTCCCTGTCCTGCATGTAGATGGGCAGGAGGAAAGTGGGGACAATGAATAAAGAAGGTGGGAGTGGTACTTTTTCCATAAATATCCTGTGGTATCCTTCCTTTTATATGTTTCTAAATAATGACTTGCCAAGCCTGTATGATGTTATGCAATCAACTTAATTTAATGCTCTCCTCTGTAAAGTCTTATGGGATTGCTTTTATCACTGAAAATCAGTGTGGAGGTAAACCCACTCTTGGAACTGATAAGAAACAGTGATATTATTAGCATTCTAATGATCATATCTGAGTTGTTGCACAACAGCGGGGTGAAATAGCCACTACTAAGGATTTGGCCAGGCTTGGTCCCAGCGGTAGATCAGTGTCCAGTACAGGAATGGTTAGTAAAAAGGAATGTCATGCTAGCATATTAGACACATAATAACAGAGTTATTTCTTGTATCTTGTTTAAAATGGCAGAAGAATTTTGTGTGTTTAGTGATTACTGAATCTTTTACAGCCATCAGAGCGGCCTTGATGCTTTGCCAGGGTCAGAAACACTAGTTATGTCCAGGCTGTTAATATATAGGACATGCCGGAACTTGGAGTTCCTTTCAGAAATACCAGGTTGTTGAAACTTAACATTGGTCTGTTCTTAACAACTTTTGCCAAAGTGCAGTAATTTTTAAGCAAGATAGAACTTGGAAAAATATTTAAAACCACTGGAGCCACCTCTGCATGTTGGATTGTTCTGTGGCCTGGAGATCTGGGCTGATTATCGCAATCCAAGCCTTTTGACAGGGCTTTAGTAAAATGACGATTTAATTTCCATGTACATTATTCCCTCTCTGTGTCCGCTACTGTAAATTTCTGCACTAGGATCGTGTCTCTGAGATATACTGTGGCACAGGTTTATGTAGTTAAAATAAGACTGAATAGATCTATAGATGAACAATTCCATTGCACTCTTAATGTGTTGACAGAAAGCTTATTTCACCTCTAACTGCCAAGCACAGGCTTGTAGAAGCATTTTGCATTGCCAACAGCTTTTGTCATTCAGGGCCAGTATTCCAGCTTTCTGCTCAGCTGCTTCAAATAACATAATGAATTACCAGCAACTGACATCTCCATCAGTGAGTAAACAACTCTGAGCCTGTGTGTGAGTGTCAGCACATAACAGGTGGTACTGTATTCAGACTCTGCTCATTATCTGTGTAGCCTTTTTCCAATTGTCAAATGAACACTTTGAGAATTCAGGAGTTTTGGAGAATGGTTCAGATTCTCAGTGCACATAAATAAGAACCTGATATTTTATCCCACTTAGGGCAGATATAATATATAATATAATATAATATATATAATGGCCAGTCTTCGCGAGCGAAGATCCGGGGAAGGTCTTTACACCTTCCAGCCTGCGCATTGGATTTTTTAGGTGAGACACAGTGTGCGCGGAACTGAGCCCACCCTTTAATCCTAAGGTTCATCTGCCGGGGCCAAGCGAGCTTGGACGGTGGCAGCGAGGTCCTTAGGATGTAGATGGATTGCTTTAAGGGCTAACGAGCTCCATCTGCCCAGGAGATACTTTGATTTACATCGGTACTGGTAAGAACTACTATTAAAAGAAAATTCAAATATTATACAAATGTTTTACAATTATTCAAAAATTTGTTTGTGATGATTTTGCAGTGTTGAAGTGCTGATTAGTTGTTATTTTGAAAATATAAAATGGTGAGATCTTTTTGCTTTCTCAGTTCTTACAAGGTCACAAGGATATAAAGACAATATTACTTGCCCAAGCAAGATGAACATTTCTATTAACTTCAAATTAAGTCAATGCTAAGAAAGGCTGTTCTTAAGAGCAGAGATTTGTGAAACTTTGCTCTAGTTGACTATAATGATATAGTAATGAAAAGACACAACTATTCGATAAATAGATTCAATGATATATGGAATTTAATGTAGATATTCACGATAAGTTATCAGCTGTCTTCCGGTAGCTGGCTTCAAGCCAAAATTAAAAACATTAATCTGACCAAATCAGTGCATCACGTTTTGTGTTTGCCTGCCCATTCATCCTCTGCAGTGTGATAGTGTACTCCTGTGTGACCCAGGACGAGTCTGTCTTGTTCAGGGATGTGGTCATGCACGTCTGGTACTAAGAATGGTGAAATCAAAGCCTCACTTGTTCCCCGGCTTGTGCTCTCTTGTGTAAATACTGAGTAGGATTGAATTCTGTTTTGCCCAATATTGCAGACTAAGAAACAAGCTTAATTTAAGCTGGAAGAAACATCTCTCAAGTGGCAGCCTGTCTAACCTCAAGGATATTCATCAAAGCTTAAAATGCTTGAAGGACAAATTGTCCAAAGGCTGTTAGATGTTTCTGGGATAAAAGTGATAAAAAGTGCTGTTTGCTGACACTTTGATATGATGTGAGAAGACATACTGTTTTAGATATAATTGATGAGTGAGATTTCATATATCTACAAAGGCAAATAGGTGACCTATCCAA